GACCTATCAAATGAATGAGTTAAGCCATGAAATTTGGTAGAGTTATAGTACACATCCCAGGCTTTAAAATGAGTGCAAGATCACCTTAATTGGATGTGTACACAAGGAGATATGATTTTTATGGCATTAGTTATGATTTTTCAAAATTGGACTTGAAATCTGAATTTAAACAGTGAATAGTAATCCGAGCAGTTATGTTGATATTTTAAATCCATGGGCTTGTGTCATGACTTGCTTGAACCATAACACTTACAAATGCACACTCTGAGGGGTTAAAGGTAGGATGTTTCAAGAATCAATAACATAACTCAAGTAATTCCTAAACCCCTTAAAGCTTCAATCTTTATTCTTGAATTTTTAGAGTTTATTTCCTTTAACCCTAAAAATTCCCTCTTGACTCATTCCTACATAATTTTTCATGTAGATTCCAAATATCTACTTGGATTTAACAAAATAAATTTCCTTCTTTCAGTTTTAGCTTGACCGAACCATTAGGGTTAAAAATCCAAAAATTGCAACTTTGATTCTATGGCTTCTAACTCTTGTTCTTTAGGTTTACCCTACACTATTTTCCATTTTGAACACAATGGAAGCCTCAAAAATTTGAAAAACACATCCTAGAGTTCAGATCTTGCAGTTGCCAAAATGGGTCTTGTTAGAAAGCCTATGATACTCGCCTATCATTATGCATGAGAATAAAATTCCTGATTGTATGTTGTCATTGATTGGAATTTATTTCTGAATGATTCTAACTGATTATTCTCACCGTCCGGACCCTATATATTGTAATCATCTCATATGGAATAATATATGGAGTGAAATATTCACAGTTTAGACATAGTATCAGAGCTGTGGGTTTGGATCCGTCCTGAACCCTTGCCGTAAATAGAAAGAGCGAGGATAGAGAGTGAGACGCCGGCACCCTCAGATCTGAAGGCTAGAGAAGGACGTGACTGACACCACCCCTCCAATCCTCACTGGAATCCTCTAATCGGTGCATCCCCAGAAGCCAGCATCCAACGGAGCAGCGCGTGAAGCTCACGCGCCTTCACAAGCCTTTGCGTGTGAATCCCACGCGCTGTCACAAACCTCCGAGCATGAAGCCCACCCGCCATCGCCAGATTCATCCCAGTACAGCACTTCGTCTAGAAGATGAATCCATCAGACTTTCCACCACTTTTTGGGTCTGTTCGCAATATGCCTATCACAAAAGGCACCATTCCAATGGCTTTTATGTTTGGCACATCCTCAAATACTCAAGGTACTCCTTCTTCACCTGTAGCCCCTTCTAAAACCTCTGATTCAATGCTAGATTTGACAATAGCCACTGAACAGCAAGCTATGATGGTGGCTCACAAACTAAATGGTAGCAACTATCTCTAATGGTCCCAAAGTGTATTGATGTATCTACGTGGGAAGCATAAGGAAAAGTATATCAATAGAGAAGCAAAACAACCGGCACACAATGATCCCAATTTTGACACCTGGTTCGCTGAAAATAATCAGGTGATGTCTTTGTAACATCCAAAGTTTTAAGCCTAGAAGTTCCAGAAATAGCCTAAATTAAATAGGTTACCAGACCCCTGTGAGCAGAAGTCCCAAAGATGAGAAAGAAAGTCAAAGCAGTTTCAGGGACTACACTGCAAAGTAAAAGTTTTTAGGGGCTCGGGTATAATTAAGGTTAGAGGCTCCAATAAAGTCTCGAAGGCCCAAAAAGAGAAAAGAGGCTAGACACAGGTCAAAGGTTAAGTTAGAAACCTCAAAGAGAGGATTGTATGAAGCTAAGTCCAAGTAAGGACTAAACTGTAAATTCAGAAAGTTATGACCAACAGGGGTAAAAATGGAATAGTACGCAGAGAATTCTAAGAAAATCCTAGAAAATTGGAAATAATATTCTAAGGCTCTTCTATGAAGAGAAAAGATGAAAATACCCCTGAGGCAGCTTCAACGGAATTTATGAGGTTATTACCGGTAAAAAGTATACCATGTGAGGTAATTATTTAAAATAGCAAGAGACTTCAAAAGTGTATACAAAAATGAGATTAAAGGGTTGAAAGGTTGTACTAATTTATAAAATTATTCCCGCAACCAAAAGGCCAGTAGAGTGGCTTTAAGAAATTAAAGAGCCGGTTTTGCCAATAAAAGGGCATTTTGGTAAATGAATTTTTATGCAAGGTTTAAAGGAAGTGTTATGGCCTAAGAAAATTCATAGATATTCTCTAGAATTAAAGAGAATTTATGGATCTGACAGAAAATAATTACAGAGGCCAGAGCACTGTAATTAGAGAAAAGAAGTTAAACCTGGAGTAAAAGTGCACCGATAAAGTATTAATCAGAGTCTTGCACTTTACTTGGGCCACAAGTCGCCACTTGTCAAGCCTTTAATGGATGGTAATTAAAGCTTTCCAAGTGTCAAGCTACCAATGGAGAGGATCTTGACTTTGGAATTTAATTACATTATGATTTAAGTTAATTAAGAGAGAGGATTAAGATTAAGTAGGCTAATGACACTTGGCATAACATTAATGATGGTTGGTGGGATATTTTGTACACATTAATGAGCTCATCTCTCCCCTAAATCAGATGGGAATTTCGTGCAAGGCATGAAGAGAGGGTAAAAGAGAGAGTTTTGAGGGAAAACCAAGAGAAAGGCATCAACTTTGGTCATACAATCAAGGTTCAAGGTGAGTTCTTGGCTCTAGATGTGTTCTTGCCTTGGTTTCTTTCTCTTTTATGGTTGAAAATATGTCTTCTCTCCCTTTTGATGGCTGGTCGAAATGGTTGATGAGTGGGGAAGGGAGTTTGGTTGTTAGATCTTGCTAGAACACCTCAAAGTATGGTAGATCCAAGTGGATCTATGTGAAAATTGGAAGAATTACGTGCTGATTTGATGGCTTTTTCGAATTAGTTACTGTTTATATCTAGTTCTGAAATTTGGCATGCTTAAAGTATACTCTATGAGCTTTAAATGCATGGGTAGAAAACTTTATTTGGATATGTGTACGATTTATGGTGATTTTTCAAAGTTAGGATTTGAAATCTGGAAACAGTGTTGAACTTTTGGGAGATTGTCGAGTTCCGTACAATTATGGTACTGTTCTGGGTAGAATTGGTTCCTGAAACTATTTTTCCTTTAAATTTAACTTAATTATCTTTCAGTGAGACTTGGAAGCACTCAATTTGGAGTTTTCTAGATTTAATTATGAATTTTCAAAGTTGAGCAAAAATTCTGGAGATTCTGCGTGAACAGTACCCGCGAACCAAAATTTCCAGATTTGATATTTTTGAATCTAAAGCCATCTAAAGTGGTCCTAATTGATAGGAAATAGATCATAAGGATATAAAATGATAAGATTTATATTAGAAAAGTAGAAAGAAAACCCTAAGACTAAGAGAAAGGGTTGAGGTTTAAGAAAGCTAGTCTTGAACTTTATGTAATTTCTTGGTCCTAATGGGTTGTGTGACCAATGTGATTATGTTTAGGATCTTGGAACATCTAAGAGGATGTTTGATGATGTTGGGCAAAAGCTACCATGGTTGGAAAGTCATGGGAGTCAAAGGAAAAGTGAAAGGAAAGCTTGAGGTGCAAGGTAGTGAACTTACCTATTGTCATTGCTTGATGTTGTATGCTTGTGTGTTGCCGTGTACATGTTATTGAATGTTATTGTGACATGTTTTAGCTACTGTAATTGCTATTCATGATGAGTAGATTATGTCTCCATGGCCATGCATCAAGAATTTAGCTTTGAGCATGCTAGTATGTCACTAATTAACAAGAGAATAAACAAGTTGCGTGTAGTGCATGAGCATCCATTTAGCATGATTAATATGGTATTGTTTGCTACTGAGATTCTCCCAAATCTCACCCCCTCCCTAACCAACCATTTAGGTCAATCAATGATGGGCACTAATGGCATGAGAAGCAAGGAGAAGAAGTGGAGAATTATTAATGCAAATGATTGATATGAATATTCAATGTATAATTCTCCTATGCTGTAAATTATGTTATAAATGCTATTACTTCAATGTATATGCTTAGGATGTTTATGGCATGAATGAAAGTATATGAGTATGAATGAGAAAGATTAAGCCCATGCTATGTATGTCAAAGAAATAAAAAGAATTAAAGTAAGGAGATATTAAGGGATAAAACGTAGGTCCTGAAGCAGTTAATTTCAAGCTTCAGTTCGACCTATCATATGAATGAGTTAAGCTACAGAATTTGGTACACTTATAATGCATATCCCAAGCTTTAAAATGAGTGGTAAATCACATCATTTGGATGTGTATACAATGAGATATGAATTTTCAAAGTTAAGGTGCAGAATCTGGAAAGTCCAGATTTTACCAAATGAATAGTAATCTTAATCCAATAAACTGTACGAATTGGGCAAGAATAAGTCCAATTGAGTATTTTTACCTTAAAGAGCATTGAAGTAGCTTTCCGTAGAATTTTGTAACACCTCCATACGATTTTTCTAGAATTAGTTATGGTTTTTTAAAGTTGGACCTGTAATCTGAAAACTGGACAGTGAACAGTAATTTTCCGAAAATTAACGTCCAAATTGAAATTTTTAAGCTTAAGACCATCCAAAGTGGTCTGGAATGGTTCTAAATGAATGCTAAGGTATTATATAAGTAAGGTGTGACAGTCTTGGCTATGCAACTCAATGACTCTCGAAATCAGTAAGGGACACCTTCTTGCAAGCACAGCCAAGGAGATCTGGGATGCTGCTAAGCACACTTACTCTACATTAGACAACACTGCTGCTTTGTTGGACCTAAGGAGGCAACTCAAAGAACTGAAGTAAGGAAGCTTGACTGTAACACAATACTACAGTACTCTGACAAAGATATGGCAGCAATTAGATCTCTTTGAAGTACATCCTTGGAAGAATATTGATGATGCTAATTACTACAGACAGCTAGTTGAAAAGGGATGAACATATGATTTTCTGTTGGGCCTAAATGATGTTTTTGAAGAAGTAAGAGGCAGAATTATGGGTCTAAAGCCCCTTCCATCCCTATTTGTAGTCTTCAGTATGGTTAAGTTAGAAGAAAGTCGGAGACACCTCACCCAGGGTAACCAAACTCCAGTTGATGGCTTAGCTTTAGTCATAAGAGGTCCCCAGACATCAGAGAGCTCTGAAAGAAAAGGGAACAAGTGGTGCAATCACTGTAACAAGAAAGGCCACACCAGAGATGAATGCTGGAAACTACATGGAAAGCCAACCCATGGGAAACAGCAACAACGTCGAGATGGAAAAAGCCACCACGCCTCCTCTGAGGAAAGAGGCGATGATGGAGACTGCTTAACCAGAGAAGAACTTCAAATGCTCCGTAAGATGCTTGAAAGGCAAAACTCATCAAAAAAGGTTCCCAACGTGAACTTGATTCAGTCAAGAAATTCTGTTATTGCTCTTAATGCAATGGTCACTAGTGATGAGACATGGATTGTTGACTCCGGTGCTACAGACCACATGACTGGTACTAAATCCCTCTTCAAAACTCTCAATTCTTGCCATGAGAACCTCAGAGTAAAAGTGGCAACTGGACTATATACTAAAGTTGAGGGTGTTGGCACTGTGGCCCTCTCTGATGATCTGGAAATTCATAACGTTTTGTTTGTTCCTGCTCTCACTTACAATCTTATATCTGTAAGCAAACTGACTAAAAGACAAGTATATCGGGTGATCTTTGATGATGTTAATTGTGTTTTTCAGGATTCGATCTTGGGGAGGAAGATTTTGACTACTAAGGAATGGGATAGACTCTACTACTTTGAAGGAAAGGATATGAAGAAAAAAGGAGCAAGGAAGGCTATGGTTAGCTCCAATTCTCAAAATAAAAATGTAATGTTATGGCATCAAAGATTAGGCCACCCTAGTTTTGATTATATGAAGCATGTGTTTCCAACATTATTCAATAAAAATTCTTCTCCTTTCCGATGTGAAACTTGTCAAATTGCTAAACAAACTCGCACATCTTATCCCAAGCATATTTACAAACCCACTAACCCTTTTACAATGATCCACACCGACATTTGGGGACCCGCCAGAACCAAAACCCGAACGGGCACAAGGTGGTTTATCACATTCATCGATGATCATACACGGGTTACATGGGTTTATCTGATGAAAGAGAAATCTGAAACCTTACAAATTTTCAAAAACTTTCACTCTTTTGTGAAAACCCAATTCCAAACTCCCATCAAAGTACTGAGGAGTGACAATGCCAAAGAGTATGTGAGTGGAGCCTTTAGGGAATTTCTTGAGGAACAGGGAATCCATCACCAAACCTTGTGTGTCTATACCCCACAACAAAATGGAGTTGCCGAGTGGAAAAATAGGCACCTTTTGGAAGTAACCCGAGCCATTATGATGGAAAGAAATGTTCCAAGCATGTTTTGGGGAGATGCGGTGCTAACTGTAGCCTATCTTATTAACCGAATGGCCTCCAAAATTGAGTAAAATGGCTAATTACACCTGAACCTGAGACCAACGCACCTCCTAATCCTCCTGAACCCTATATACCACACGAAGAAATCCCTGAACCTGAACCGGAAACCCCTAAACCTACACCTCAACCAGAACAGCCCAAAACCCCCACAAACAATACTCATACAATGGAAATGAATGCTGAAATTAATGCAGGGGTGATAGAGCACTCAAGATCTCAATCAAGTGAACAAGACAATAGTAGTAGGGTTCTTTCCATTCCAAGGCAGCAATATGATTCCAATCCGGAGTTGGATCCTGAAGAACTAGGATGGCCTATTGCACTTAGAAAGGGGGTAAGGTCTTGTACTTAGCATCCTATACAAAGATTTGTCTCTTATGGCAATCTATCCGCTAGAATGCAAACCTTTGTGGTGAATAGCTCACAAGTGAAAATTCCAGAAACATTTCAACAGGCCATGAAAGATCCTAACTGGAAACATGCAGCATACGAAGAGTTGAAAGCCCTGGAGGAGAATAACACGTGGGATATAACCACACTCCCTAAGGGCAAGAAAGCAGTGGGTTACAGGTGGATCTTCACACTGAAATTAAACCCTGACGGAAGCATCAACAAGTACAAAGGGAGATTAGTTGCAAAAGGGTACACTCAAACTTATGGGATTGATTATCAAGAAACGTTTGCTCCCGTGGCAAAGTTCAATACCATCTAAGTACTTTTGTCCCTAGCTGCTAATCTTGACTGGTCCCTACATCAACTGGATGTAAAGAATGCTTTCCTAAATGGAGATTTAGAGGAGGAAGTATACATGGAAGTTCCAGATGGAGTAATAGCTCCACCTAATTCGGTTTGCAAACTGAAGAAGTCATTATATGGCCTGAATCAGTCTCCACGGGCATGGTTTGATAGGTTTGCCAAAGCAATCAAAAGGTTTGGTTACAACCAAGGACAAGCTGATCACACTTTTTTTGTCAAACACAATGATGGAAAGGTAACGATCCTAATTGTGTATGTGGATGATATAGTCATAACTGGTTGTGATGAAGCTTCTATCTCTTAACTCAAGAAAGCCCTGGCTAGGGAATTCCAAGTGAAGGACTTAGGACAAATGAGGTACTTTCTCGGAATGGAGGTTGCTAGATCCAAAAAGGGTATAAGTGTGTCACAACGGAAATACACACTTGATTTACTCCATGAAACAGGAATACTTGGGGCTAAACCGAATGAAACACCTATGGAAGAGTCATGCAATCTGGAGGTTAAACCAGACGGGGTACCAGTTGACTCAAAAAGATACAGAAAACTTGTGGGTAAACTGATCTACTTGACCCATACATGACCTGACATTAGTTATGCAGTTGGGGTGGTAAGTCAATTTATGCACCAACCTCAGGAAGAACATATGGAGGCTGTGTACAGAATCCTGACCTACCTCAAACTCAATCCTGGAAGGGGAATATTCTTTAAAAAGGGGAATACAAGAAACATAGAGGTCTATACTGATGCAAATCATGGGAGAGCTGTAGATAACAGGAGATCTGTCACAGGTTACTGCACTTATGTTTGGGGAAACCTTGTGACTTGGCGAAGCAAGAAATAGACCGTAGTCTCAAGGAGCAGTGCTGAAGCTGAACTAAGAGCTGTAGCTTTAGGGGTGTGTGAAGGAATGTGGGTGATTAGACTCCTGAAGGAATTGAGAATTCCCTATGAAGGGCCAGTGAACCTCTGGTGTGACAACCAAGCTAGTATTGAAATGACAAAGAATCTGGTATATCATGACCGAACAAAACATGTCGACATTGATTGGCATTTTATCAAAGAAAAGGTAGAAGGTGGTATCATCAACTTAAGCTATGTGCGCTTGATTGATCAGATTGTTGACATTATGACCAAACCTTTAGCCAGAGTCAAGTTTGAAGGGCTTCGAAGCAAGCTGGGGATGGTTAACATCTACTCTCCAGCTTGAGGGGGAGTGTTAGAAAGCCCATGATACTTGCCTATCATTATCCATGAGAATAAAATTCCTGATTGTATGCTGTCATTGATTGTAATTTATTTCTGAATGATTCTAACCAGATTATTCTCACCGTCCGGACCCTATATATTGTAATCATCTCATATGGAATAATATATGGAGTGAAATATTCACAGTTTAGACAGGTCTCAAGCAACACAACCAAGGAAACACTCCAAAATCAACCTACAACCACTTGTAACTACTAGGATCTACCATACTTTGAAGTGTTCTAGCAAGATTGGACCATAAAACTTCCTCCCCTACCCCAAAAGCATTTCAGCCAGCTCCAAATAAAGAGGAAAAACCAGAAATTTCAACCATACAAACCAATAAAACAAAGCAAGGAACATCTTAAGACAACTTACCAAGCTTGGATCTTAGTTAGAAGATCAAATATGCTTGCTTTTTGCTTGATTTCCCTTCAAGTTCTCTCTTTTCTCTCTTAATCTCACCTTGGTCGAAATATGATCTGAATATGAGGGGAGAAAGACCTCACTTAATGCTCCTAAAATATCTCATCTACCCACATTAATGAGATACCAAGTGTCAAGTGCTTACTTAGTCTTAATCCTGTAAGGAATTGAAAGACACACAGCGGAAATTAACCTTTAAAATTTTTCAATTCCTTGCCCGGATCTACCGATTGTGTTTAAGTCAAGTGGTAAGAGATGTTACATGCAGTATTCAAATTGATGGTGACTCGGGGATTTCGACGTTCGGGATGCCTATGCTCTTGGTGTGATCATGAGAAGTCAACGACTCAGATCGGCTTCCTCTACTGGTATCCACACGAACAGCGTTCCAATCACAAACGACGTGCTAGCGCCTCTTGTCCTTCTAGGGTTTTTGATAATCCGTCCTCACCGTCTCTCTATTGACCGTTTCTTATCTGTAAACGTTTTGCACCCTCTCACGCCCAAAAACCCTAGCTCCTAATATCAAATATATATAGGACGCTAAGGATATTGGATTTCAGAATTAATCCTAAATTAATTCCGAAATTAATACAATATCACATATTACATAATCTGATAAAAAATTAATTAAATAAATACGGTTTTTATATTAAATCCATCCTACATATTTAATTCACCTATTCATTTAATTCAAAATAAAGATATGACAGAATTATGTTTGATTTATTCTAATAAATCAAATCTGAGATATTATACCTTATCAATTAAAAAAAATGATATAGATTTAATTTGTCCTTATAAATCAAATCTTATAAATATCTCTTATATTATATATATATACACACAAATTTTTATATATATATATATATACACACACGTCCACCTTAGATTATTCATTGAATCTAGACATATCTTAGATTCAATGAATATGGACATCATAGCTCGTGTTGGGCTATTTTGTGTGCGACCCTGTAGGCCCATATAAGTTGGCAGTGGCCATTCACTATAATAACTCACAAGTCGTAAGCGATCTCTAGCAAGACATCATGACTACCCACATCATATGAGGATCGATGAACGATGCAACCTTTCATACAACCATATCACGTCCCTTTTGTCACACGACATTTCGGTCATGGATGAGGCATGGAGAACGTCATCTTCCTATTCCTGACCGTTGCTTTCTTGATCCCTGAGTAGTCTGAGTATAGAAATGGAACTACCTTTCCATTATAGTATGGCCATACATTTCTCAGACTCACTCATCAAGGGGCCCAGTAATATCTCTCTACGAATGTGAGGGACAAATTCCATCTTGATCATTCACATTCCTCCATATAAAAAACCACTAAGCCTGAACATAGTCTTTATGATCACTCAGTCAAAAGTGACTTTTGACTAGGTCAAAGCCGAGCGTTTCTCATGTAGGAATCCATGATGATCTCAGGTCAAAGGGCATAGTGACATGGTTTGTATATGAGAGAAGCTTATGACTTAACCCATGCAACTCTCTCATAGCGGGTCGGTCCAACACCTTGTACTCTTACATGTGCTTATGACTTTGATTTATATCTCTATACATCTTCAAAGTCATACTGGTCTTATTTCATCTCTGCTCCCACATAGATGACCGACCAGGGACATTTAGGATAAAATCATAAGTTATCCAAGGATAGTCATCACAATAAACATGCAAATAATATGATAACATAATTAAGAAATTCATAAATCAACAATATTCATAACACAATGATTGGCCCCTAGGGCACAATTTCCAACAAATCCTCTCTCTTAATTAACTTAAATCATAATGTAATTAAATTCCAAAGTCAAGATCCTCTCCATTGGTAGCTTGACACTTAGAAAGCTTTAATCACCATCCATTGAAGGCTTGACAAGTGGCAACTTATGGGCCAAGCAAAGTGTAAGACTCTGATTAACACTTTATCGGTGCACTTTTACTCCAGGTTTAACTTCTTTTCTATAATTATAGTGCTCTGGCCTCTGTAATTATTTTTTGTTAGATCCATAAATTATTCTCCTCATTTTTATCTTCCCAAATTGCCCTCTTTGTCTCAAATTTAATTTCCCAATAATTAAATAAAAAGGAAAACTATTTTCCTTCTCTTTAGTGATTTTTCCTCTTTTCAAAGGAATTGGGAAAAAAATCTTGGATACTTGAGGGTCTTCTTTTAATTTCATAATCTCTTATAATTCCTTGGGATATCATAGGAATTTTCTTGGGATTTTATTCTCCTTATAAATATTTATTTGGAATTTTCTAAATAAAAGATCTTAAACTAGCTTAAATCCCCCTTAAATTCCTTCGTAATTTCTCTAAGGGCAATTTGGTCATAAAACCAATTTTATAATCCCATATAATTCTCAAGGAATATTGTCCTTATTTTTTTCTTAATTTCCTAAGGCTTGGAAATATTTTTTCATAATTATTCTTGACCAATTTTTCTTAATTAGTCAAACTTTTCATAATCGACTTGGAAAATTATAATAATTATTTTCCATCAGAAATCTTCTATTTCTCCTTATCCTTTTTGACCCTTAATTATTTAGAAATATC